TAACAGTACTAATACATTGGTGTGGTGTTTTGTAGTCTAATTTCAGAGAGTGAAAAACCATAGACAAACGCCATTCTTAGTATAAATGTTTTTACATAATACCATCGTTGATTGAACCGAACTGATTGGTCTCTATTAGTACATGGGCTCCTGTGCTGATGCCTCGATATTGCCAGCATTCTAATTATGTTAATGATGGATCGTGGCTAGCAATGGAATCCAGGATGCGCATTTTTTCCCGTTTGGGACTCGTCAGCTAGGTGTACCGGTGAGAGCAACATTACTCACTGGGAAGCAGGTACATCAGCTGACGAGTCTCAAATAAGACGAAATGCGCATCCTGGATTCCATTGCTAGCCACGAACAAACGCCTATCTTGTTTTCGAGTGAAAATATAAGTGATATATCAAATAAGTAAACTGTAGCAAATGATCAGGATCGAACCACAACGTTCCTGACCATCTACCTGGTACTTAATCATTAATCATATTCAAAATGGTAAGAAGGTGATATTTTTATCATTTTGGTACTACAATAAAGTAAACAAATTCATGATTTCTAAATTCGCTACATTAGTTCATATCAATACACACTATAAGCATAATCATGGCTTATAAACGTACACTTTGCTTTAAAAATCGATAAGTGATATTCGTTTCCATGGTTTTGATTAAAATACAAATAAATGATACTAAGATATGTGTTTATTACATGAAGAATATCAACACATTTCAATCATCACTTGTACAAAGGATATAATGTATGCTGATTGTTCTATTGAATGATATTCACACTAATAAAACAATGAATTCATACATAGTAAGCTTAAAAACTATACAACAATTCAACGTGATTAGTGCTATTCTTTAATGTGTGAATATTAAAATATTTTTTGTTGAAAAAGAGATAACTTGGTGAATCCCATATGTGTGAAGAGAACATCAGATGGGTAAGTAGAATTCCCGTGAAATATTCTTCATATTGACAACAGAAATCGTTCAAGAAATAGAATTTCAAGTGATATCGTAAGCCTTAGAGTTATTTCCTTAAGATTAGATCGGTTTCAGTAGTATATTCAGATGTGATATACTCTTATATGATATGACTTGTTTGATTTGTATTCCCCTGTGTTTCATATTTTTGATTATATTGCTCTTTTTCAATGGTAACAATCTAGCGCATTCTTGAACTTTACGCTACCAATACAATTTTCCATCGGACATATTACATCAAATTCTTCCCCTTCAGTTTGTTTTAATCTTTCAAATATGACCTTCAAACGTGTCGCATACTTTTGTGAACTATAAAAAATCTACACTGACCTTTTTTTTTTTTTTCAATTAATCCCTAAATAATGAAAGAATCTCATGTGAGACGGAAATAAACGTTTGAATGCACAAAAATAAATTGTACTTCAATTCCTTTGATACCTATCTAAAATAGGAGATTCTACTACTGGCTGAATGAACAAACATGACTAAATACCAGACGTTAATCTAATAACCAACCGGTTGTATTACTTTTAACGCCGCTATCATTATGAACAACATTCAGATGCAGGGATCATTTCGCTTGAAATTACCATTTTGGAAATGAATCTGTTAAAATATTATATGCTGCAAAATTTCATACTGTATTAAACGTACTACTTAATATGAAGCAATTCTTATTCTATCATTACATTAACCATCTGTTTAACATTTGATAAGTGAAGGAAATCAGTTGTTATGCTTCGGTTTCACTTTTCAACTTCCTACCAGAACAGTCAAGACATCAAGTGATCTTGATATGATTAATATTTTCTTTTTATTTTCACGTATAACAGAACACACTTTCCGAACATTCACTCATAGTTTATTTCATTCATGCCTTACTCTTATATTTGTACACATGATTGTAAGCAACACTTTATTCTAACATTTTCATATTAAACGATAAACGTTGTCATTGTCTTTTTCCTTACTTATGCTTGCCAAATTTATGTTACCCCTGAAAATCTCAGATAGACTATTGTACACCCATAGTATCCAGCTGGCTTTATAGCTTATTATCTAACACTCAGTTATCCTTTCGAACATTATTGTACTTGAGTACAATCCTGATCACTACCTCTCATAGTGTGTAATGCTTAAAACAAAAGGCAAAAGAAACGATACGTTTAGTCAATGAAAACTGCCTACAGAAGAAATATATTTGCCAGTGTAAAGTTCAAAGATATTTAAGGGATAATACTAAAAACTTATTGCTCCTGTGCCTATGAGCAGTCGGTAAAGGAAACCCAAGAGATTGCAAGTACCACTCCCTACTCACTCCCTACTGGATAACTTGGCTAACATTCATTTGTTTCATCACTTCTAGCTGCTGATAGCTACTTTAATACTGGTGAACTAGAATTGAATTTCAGGATTATTAATATAGGTTCTAACTGAGTTGTGTATATAATATGACCAGAGAATATGGCATGTATTTCTGAAGCTCTAAATTTTGTCGCATGTTTTATATTACTTAATAAATTTTCAGTAGTTTAAAAATTTGGGGAGGATTCAAATTACTAATGTTTTGTGGAACCTCCTGACGGTAAATCTTAAAGAAATAACAGGTAATAAATAAAAAGACAAGGCCTATGTAGCATGGCAAATAGTAATGCTAGAGTTTTAATTTAACAACCAGATTAAAAAACTTGAGAATATAAAAGGAAGAAAATTTGCTGTTATGATCTGAAAAATGTGAATTTCGAAAGACACCCCTCCATTCTTTAGGACATACTGTCAACGCAGACGCTGTTGAATCAACAGTCAGGGAAGTAGGAGCTATTGAAAAACACCCTAAACCGGACTATTTTTATCGTCGTTTACATCGGCACTGCTTACAACTAACACCAGAACTAACCGACTTACTAAAGCTCCACACTAGAATGCTACATATGACTACCACAGCGATCGAAGCATGCAACAAACTAGAAAGGTTCTGAGCCCCGAGACTCTATCGGCACATCGTGACTTTAGATCTCCCTTACCAATAGTAGCACGTGTCAAATATAAAAATGACAGCAAATCTTCAGTAATTCTCTGGTGGTTGAGTCCTGAGTTATCCGTTGTGTGGACCAAATCCGGAAAAAAGTTTCCTATTAAATTAACTTCCTCCTGTCTTTACTTTGCGTATTAATGGTGGAGTAATAAAGTTAGCACTGTTAATACTGCATGAATATATATAAATATAAATATATACGGTCTTCTAAACGTTACTGGAATCAGGTCCCTTACTACTACATCCTCAAAACAAGTCAGTCTTTCGTAGCCCAGTAGAAGAAATTTGCACTCATCATTCTTCAACAACTACTCTGAATGTCTAGAAGCGACCAGGGTGCGGAAAACTAGCAGATATGTCACGTTTTATCTAGGTCAGTCAACAGTGAATTAACAGGACTAAGAAACTTCTAAGAAGTGAGGAACACTCATTGGAGATTTCGTTTCCAAGATGAATAGCAACAGATGTGTTTCTCATACAGCTAGAATATATATATCTACTGTCTTTTATGATATTTGTGATCATACTTCTAGAGATGTTGTCTAATTCATGTAGTACCTGTTGTTAGAAATATATTATTACTATTTGTCCCTTGAGTTCTACTGGAGCATACGGCTTCACTTACGCGTCTCCATTTCACTCTTTTCTCTGCAATCTTTTGAACCTGGACCCACGACAGCCCAGAAACTCTCATTTCTTCCTCACACGATCACCTCAATGTCTACTTCACCATCTTCCTCTTTCAGCTCTATCAACTTCCATGTGTCCATCGAGATCCATTACTTATCTTCTTCTTTCTTCCCAACACAGTTGTGCAGGTTTCATTCCATATCTCCAAAGAAACTTCCTTGTACTAAGACTAATCTCTTTAACTGGGTTGTCACAGGTAATGAAATCAATATCTTAATAAAAGTTCAAAGTATACAGTTTAATAAACCACCGATAAAAGTCAACTTTTTAATCGACAATTCAAAGTACCTATTTAGATTCCTAACAAAATATATACTCACTACTTTAAGTTCCAGTTCAGATATTATCTAAATCTTTAAGAACTGAGTACATTTATGAACTTCTAATCATAAGTTTTAACATTTCTATGTACTTGGTTGTATTATGTTCTCCGAGATGGGTTGTTTAATCATGAAGCTTTCATCGTCTTGCTAGAAGACATTATCAGCACTAATCATAGACTATATCGTCAGATCAAGCTATTAAATCATTCACATAGAGATATTGACAGTCTACTTCATATTGAAGTTAGTGCTGATGATGTCGTCTAGAAAGATGATGAAAACTTCATGATTAAACAACTCAGCTCAAAGAAGACAATACAACTAAGATCACTACCTAAACTTCAAATATTCTTTATTATTTCTATGTAATTTATGATAGTAATGAAGTATTTTATGATTAGCTTCAATTTATAAGAATATCGACTGATGTAATTCAATGAATGACTGAGAAATACTCAACTGTAAAGAGAATTAACAAAGATTGAATAGTCTGAATAGGATCAAAGGAGATTGTATAAAATATTAGAGATTATAAAGTTGTATCTATATGGCTCAGTTATGAATAAGCCTACTGATGTTCACCTTAAAATAAACAGTTTTTGAAGAAAAGAAAAACAAAGTAGCACTCACCCTTAATCTCAATGGTACATAGAAATAAAACTATAAAATTCTAAAAGTGATATATAAACACACGATTTATTTGATTATTTATTCATTTTGTAACATAGAAAGATAATTCAGACAATGAAAGATAAAAGTTAATTATTATTATTATTCAGTTTTTCTTCAATGCTTATTTTATTCAGTCATTGAATAACAACTTTGTTTCTCTTTTTTTTCTTTTTTTTGAGGGAATAATAGTAGACAAGGAAGGAGGGAGTAATTGTAACTTAATTGATCAATTATTTCTACAATAATGATTAAGTCTAATGAATATTGCCTAATAGATGAATAACACACTTAAGTGTCTTTTATACTTTGCATATTTAATTCTTTTTGTGCTGTCTCTAACTCTACACGTAATGCATGAACAAGTTTAATTAGGCTGATATTTAAAAGTTGTAGACTTCTATTATTATTATTATTATTATTATGATAGTTCTGTTGATCAACTTTTATTAAAGATTCATTGTAATTGAAATCAGTTTGAACAATAGAATCACATGTAGCCTTTTTTAAATATTCATTATATGTTTGAACACTTGAATTACATAATTTCACTGTTGATATTCTAGATTGTTTCGATGTTAAACAATCTGACTGATGAATTTCATTATTATGTATGAGGCATATTGTAGCTTGAATGCCAACATCCATTGTTGTTGTTGTTTGTATCTCTTGAGATGATTTACTCCTTTTTTCACGTATTTCACCTAATTCAGCCTGTTAAAAAACAAACAAAAAAAAAGAAAGTTATTTTATAGTAAAATTTTTAACAAAGAAATAAGTGAGATCTACAATTTTTATTAGATATGAAAGTATACTACTTAACTGATATTGTAATCCTTTCTACATAACGAAATAGAATCAATCAAAAAACAATAATCATGAGTATATGGAAAAGAAAACAACAACAACAACAACATTTGAGCATTGAATTTTTGCTGATTCACTCAGTACTCTGAATAATAATAATAATAATAGTTCAGCAACTAGTCCTGAAGTTAGGTGATAAGAGTCAATCAGCACGAAGCCTTTGTCAATCTCAGTTCTATGCTTGTTGACACACATCACAGGGTGTCTCTATCTTGAGTCACTGAGAAATAATAGCAAGCCATCTGAATGGAAATCAACATTTTAAGTTATCAGCCAATAAGTTAGAAGTTTGAGATATCAATTGGCTTCTGGCCTCCATCCAATATTCTATTTCGAGAATAAGCTATTCTCAACAAACGTTTTTCCTTTATGTCTTGAATGTTACCTGAAAGTTATCTTCTCACTAGTGTTTCTGCCTGACGACTTCTCCTGCGTTCAGCGTTGAATTATGATGTCACACAATTTTCCATAAACTTCTAATGGCCATGAGGAACTGGTAATGGAAGAAATACTTTTTGAAATGTACAATGTTCAGTTTGGGGTTTTGTGGGGGTTGATTGATTTCCGGTTGGTATTGATAATGGATTGACATCAGTTGGAGGAACATTGGAAACATGGTCCCACTGGGTAGCTACTTCGTCCCAGTATGGGACTCTTCAGCAGTGCGTACCCATCAACCTGCTAGGGATAGAACCCAGAACCTTCAGATTTCGCAGTCAGCACGTTTCCATTGAGCCACTCAGCTGGAACCCAATAGTCCATATTTCCTACTCCCATCAGTTCACGATTTAGTGACACCTACATCCAATGTCGTCATTGAATAATTGTATTCAAGTTTGACTTAGTTGACTCCACTGAGTCCGACTTTTCACTAGGACATCGGCAATCGCCTCATGAAGCTAGCCACTAATGAGTAGTAGATTTAATGGTTTATGATTCCAGGTTAGTGTTCACCATCCACGAATGTTGCGCTATAACGTAGAATGATGGACGTAGGTAATATAGACCATAAGATTCCAACTCAGCGGCTCAATGGTAACGTACTGACAGCGGAATCTGAAAGTCCCGGGTTCGATCATTGATGACGTCATGCGTGCGCACTGTTGAGGATTCTCAAACGAAGACGAAACAGATGATGAGTGCTTTCATCTTTCTAATGTTCCTCGAATTGATGTCAATCCGTGATGAACACCAAACTAAAATGTACAATATGAGTTCTAAGTATGAAAAATTCCCTATCCTATCGCGGAAGCACAATTCAAGTATTGTGCATTTTATATCGGATATTGATAACAACTCAGAAGACAAAAGTTTAAGTTAATTCAGCTTCATATGTTTACACACTTTGTTTCCTAACTCAATCAACTTCACCTTCTACATCTCTATGTACACTATCATCAAGTGTTCGACTCTTTGTAGTTTCCTCTATTGTCTTGATAAAACTATCACAAACTAGCTTCACTGATTTCACTTTACTCTTCTCTGAAATTTGAATTCTACTATGACAAGCTACCATCGATAACATCCTGTTATCGAAATAAGAAACAGTGTAAGCCTATCTCACTTACCACAACAGTTACACCACTGATTATCATATTCACGATAAGCTTTTACAAATATCTCAGCGAAACATTGATATTGAATTATCAGCGAACAGCAAACGATATGCAGTTTTATACTTGACTAATCCCATTGTTGTAAACTGTGTTAGTTGAGCCGGGAATTAGTTTTGATTTGAAATCTAAGTGATTATGTTAAAATTGGTAGAAGATATACTTAACAGATCATCCAAGAATGATCTGGAGTTAATAATAATAGTAGTAGCAGCAATATCTTTTTTCGGCGCCAACCTGAAACATGAATAGATTCAAATCTATAGACAGTGAACTCTATACACCTTTGCATACTACCAAAAATGTATTAATGAACAACTTGAGAACTTACAAACCACTCAGATAGTCAAAGTGATAACTAGGAAATGGTAAATTTCATTTTCAGAGTAAGTTTCCATTCTAGCTCAATATTCTAACTTTCAGATGAATTTCACAGTCATACAACTCAGCTATTTTCAGTGGGATAACCTTTGAAGTATACCGGTTACCTGATGATGTTTAAACCACAGTTTTATCAATGTATTCCTAGTGAATAACTTGATTGGTTAGAGACCATCTTGGCTGATTTGCAGATTTCGCTGGATAGTTCAGAGTTGTCTGAATACAGGACAGACCTTTCGTTCATTTGAGGCCGAGATCATCAGGGGTGTATTTGGATAAATTGTATTTCAATTCCATTCGTTCGCTCTACTTGATACCAGTCTTTCCCATCCACTGGTTCTCTGTATACTACTATGATGTTGATTTTGTCCGTCAGACCATTATCTGTATCTAACTAAGAATAATTGTAAAACATCGGTCACCTTACTATTATTGTTACTTTCAAGTACTTTTGAATTCTCTACCTATCTATACAGTAAGTTACCAGAGTAAAACATAAGGAATGAATTCGCTAATATCCTAATAACTTCTTAACAGCTGAAACTTAAGACACCGAAAAAAATGAAGGTTATTTTCATCTTGGTAAGAAAATCAGTTTGTCATAGGATCTCTCTTTTTGCTACTTTCAATCATAAGTAGTAAGTACATCCATCTCGTATTCTATGCTGTCATAACGACCAACTGAAATTGTCAATGCATGATGTTCACTCAAAATATTCTCATAAAAACATGAGATCTTAGATTATTTCCAAGAATATGTAGAAACATTTTCTATCTTTCAGTAAATACATTCATTCTTATCATCTTTTGCTTGTACAAATGGTTCTAGTATTGATTATAATGAATTTCGTAACCTATACACCATTATCATTTATTAAGATTAACTGATAAATGAACTTACTGAAAAAGATATTGAAATATTGAACAAATTACAAAGGTTATTAATTCAAAGACTGGTGTTACAGACTAAACCATTCAGTCATTGAATTACTTAAAAGTAACTAGGCAACCAGAAGATTCTTTGTACAAAAACTACTTTTTCTTACTGAATATGATCACACACAAAACTAAGCAAAACGGAATTTTATAAGGTTTCATTTTTAGCCGCTATGGTATAAATTAATTATAAGTAGATTAGAAATATCTTTTTAGCGTTAAAGAAAAAATAAATTGTAAAAATGAAAAGTCTTATCAAATCTGATTGGCTGATATTGAACAAGACAAAAATGTTGACTATGTTACAGTTCAGGTGGACAGAATAGGTATCTTAGTTTACAAAAGATAAACCCTATTAGGGTTCATCTAGAGTTTCAACTCGTCACTTCCCATCTACCTTCCACTCGAGTAACTGGCATGATGCGTGATGTCCCCACTCGGCTTTCTCAGTGTATCCCAAACCCATCTCCACTTCCCTCTTCCGCATATTTGTTCAGTGATAGGTTCTTGGTTGCTTCGTTCCCAGAGCTCTTCGTTCCTTATTCTTTCTGGCAATGCATCTGAGCTTCAGTAACCAGCAAGCGTAGGCAGCTGTTAATGAATATCTGTAGTTTGTTGGAAATATTTTCCGTAACGCGCAAAGTCTCTCAACCATCACATAGAAGCACTGACTTCACTGGCATTAGTGTTGAAAATTTGGATCTTGTTCACGCTTTTTAGTGAGTGCAGAAGATCTCCACACTAGCTTCAAGTTAATGAAGGCCTCTCTCGCTTTACCGATCCTATCTTTGACGTCCTCGTCTGTGCCAGTGCCGCCTGTAGTTTAAATGATGCTTCTTAGATAGGTGAAAGAGGCTACTTTCCTTCAGTTTCTCCCGTTCATGGTGATTGGTGCCTCTTGTTGTTGCTGTTGTTGTTGATGCTGTTTTTCTTTCATCGCCTCTGTCTTCTCTACGTTCACTTAAGGTCCGTCTTCGTCACCGCTTCTGCCAACGTGTTGGATTTTGACTGTAGATCTTCAAGTTTGTGTGATATTAGACATAAGTCATCGACAAAATTCAAGTCTTTCAGGCTCCTTTCATTGGTCCAGCGTATCTCTCTCTTCTCGCTCCTCACAGTTTGTTGCATGATCCAGTCCAGTCCACCACAATCAGGAATATCATGGGTGATGGTAGGTGGCAACCGTGTCTTACTCCGTTCTTCACTTCAAAGGCATCACTGAGCTTGTTAGCATTTTGATTAGCGTGTTTCATATCTGTCTTCTAACTTTTCTGAGTCCATTGCCCCTTTTCATAACTGACTGATAAATATTAATAACGTACAGAAAAATATCCGTCTAAATCTTTTGGTTAAACAATAATGATAAAACAATACTGAGTAGTTATCTCATACTACTTGATCAGTAGTATGTCATCATCAACTTACTACGTAAGTTGAAATAGTAGCAACCTCTACTTTTCATAACTGCTAGGCTTATGTTAACATTATATCACTTCCGGAGGACAATAAGTTTTTCTTACAACATCAAACGTGGAATAACTTTGGACTACTGATGATCCTTATCCGTTCTATTGTTTTTTATCATAAGTATAAAATGTTCAGAAGTAATCTATAGAATATTATGAGAAAGTCAACTTCAACTATTTTTTACCGCATAAATAATATATGTATGTGTGTTTGGATAAGATTATTACTTTGCTTAGACTAGTATCATTCACTGTGTTACTTAGGTTACAATAATAATAAGGTTAAATACTTTTTTACCTTTGTTTTTTTGTGAGTTATCTTAAAATTGAATCAGTCAATTAAGCATAGGATATTATCTTGTGAAAATATACTTCTCTTACTGGATAATTAAAGAATGACCTTGACTTCAAGAAGTATTATGAGATAAAAGAATTACCTTTTAATTGAATCTAGGTGTATAAGGATCTGTTAACAGTAAAACAATCGCTGTACTTGATATAATATTCATTCAGAACTGAGAATTGTTTAACTTGATGCATAACAGAAAGTAGGAAGTAACAGATAATGTGAACGGAGATATGATAAAGTTTTATTGATCACATAGTGATAAGTTATTCGAGAAATACTGAAAACTAACCAAGAAGAAATTTTAGAAAACCTTATTTATAACATAAGAAAATTTTAGGCGATACACTGTCCAAAAAATATTGTGCCTTATGTTCAAAATTGATTTTTCATCACAAAATTTGTACAACAGATGTATTTTTCATGTGTTCTGTAAAGATTTTCAGGATCTTGAGGACAGTTTTATGGTAGACAGAATGTCAGATCAAAGAAAACATTCTTTTAACTTATGAATGTATTTTGTTGAAATAACTGTGACATCCAGTAACTCCTTTAAATAGAATAAATGATGGTACATTACAATAACTGTGTAGAGGCTTGTGAAGACCACATCTGTTTTGTAACAGCAACTAAGACAAAACTTCCTCTTAAAACCTGTTTCTTGGGCTATGCTTAAAAACTATCATTACATTTTGGAAATCAGTTATGCTAGAATAAATTGATCCCCATCAATACTGAACTTAAGACTTTCTCACTTTATGAAAAGCAAGTCATTATTTAAAGCATTTAAACAGATCATAAAACCTGATATTCTTACTGAATTACACCAACAGTAAAGAAGTGTATACTTTCGGAAACTATGTTTACTGTACTCTTCCACTACATCTAGATGAGATCATATGCCATGAATTTCGCTGAATAGATGTTCTCAGTGAGGCTCAAATAATTTTGATCATTATCAAAACTTATTACACTAAGATCGTCAGAATTTTAGCCTACTTGGTGGCTAACAGTAGGATCAAGGACCTGCATTTCATCCTACTTGTGACTCAACAGCCAAATATACCTGCAACTCAGTGAGTGATGTTATTCCCTCTGAGACTTGAAATTAGTACCAATGACTTCGAATGTCAAAGCGTTCTCTACTGGGCCAGTAAGTCACGACAACTACCTCTTGTGCAACGGGTATCAATTGTTTTTCTTAGAATATATTCGCCGTTATCACTAACCTTTATAACCATCCACACTGTCGAACAATATTCTCTTTTCATACAATGAATTGAAGCATGTGAAATTTTCAGTCAAACTGCTTATTTAAATTGATTGATCACGGGAGTTCAACCGATTTCATGTTGTCTAGTCCTGAGTGCAGACCGAATTCTATCCATCATATTTATAATGTGGCAAGCAAGCACAAAACCTAGGTCCAGGGCTTCCTACCGATTGCCTCCAGCCAACTAACATCTACTAATGTGCACCGCGATGCTGAGCTTCCTAGTTTGGTTGACATATTGCAAATATGATCGATAGAATTCGGTCTACACTCAAGACTAGACAACATGAAATTGGTTGCACACCCGTGACCAATCAATACATGTAAACCAGTCCTGCAGGAGGTCAGTCACGGTCCGAATAGCTCAGTGGTACTAGTCGCTGATTACAAAACTGGGTGAGGCGGGTTCGAATCTCAGGCGGGACATCGGTTCCGTCGAGGTTGCAGATACGCCTTACCAACGAGCAGGGTTTCCTGGCGAATGCCTCCAACCATTTAACAGAAACTGCGAATTTCGATATTCTAGGCGCCAATCAACTGACAGGGCACTACCGGAATAAAATTCACCCATTCCTTCCTGTTCCCACCGTTATTCTTGTTCTTCTTAAATTCTTTTGCGGGGAATTTGTGCATCAAACATGGGGGGGACATCATGCATCAGGCCAGTTAATCGAGTGGAACCTAGATGCGAAGTGACGAGTTGGGTGTCCCAGTTGAGAGTGACATGGAGGAGACCTTGTGAGGAAGAAATGAGAGGTTAAAGGCTGTCGTGAAGCCAGGTTTGAAATTTTTGCAGAGAAGAGTGCACACTGGAGACGTGTTGCTGAAGCCCTATGTTCCATTAGGAACCCAAGGGACAAATAATAATAATAATAAAGTCATTCTTTGAACAAGAGCAAAACTGAGAGCTTTATAGTGCACTTTGATTTAAACTAGATGTTTCATGAATGAATATGAAGATCACCTTACTAACTGCTGAGCTAACCAATTATGGGTCTCCATTTTAGTCACAATACTAAATAATGATTGGTTATTTTAACGGTTGCTAAGGTAAGCTCTGAGATAACTTTATTTGATAAGTTAAATTTTGTTCTGTCAAAGAAAAACATGCAAAGTGATCATATATATTCATAATTTATTGACCAAAAGTTTTGCTACCTTTACTTTTGAAAACCTGAATAAACTAACTTCAGATCAATCTTTAAAGGTATCCCTAGCAGTTCGGTAAACAGAAGAATAGAAGAATAGGAAAAACGTTTCATTTTAACTGGATAGTTGTTTGGTTAACCTACAAGCCAGGTCAATACATATGACAACGACAAATAAGATCATTGTGGCTGGTACAGTAATTACAGTCTGCATTTCATCTGCTATTTATTCTCTGTATAAAGTATAAAGAGGCTAAAAATTCACATACTATGCTTTTGCTTACCTGTATACCAAAACAGCCTAATTGATGAGCAGCCAATTCAATTCTATTCAGTGTCCTACCGCATCCAGCACAATCAACTGGTGCATAAGCGCATGTATGTCTATGATTTCCAAAGTGTATTGCTTCTACACTATCAATAGTAGTACATCCACGTTTAGCATATTCACAACATATTTGCAATGAATTTATAAAACATTTCAGTGCAAGCACTGGTCTAGCTATTGATAATAAATTGATATTTGGTTTATCTTGTAAACAGTAAGTATTGATATTACCATTGTTATTATTATTATTATTATTATTACTGGTAATATCAGTAGTTGAACAATACTTTTGAGTATTGGTAACACCTAGTTTTGTTCGACATGTAGGACAAGTGAAATTTAAGCGTGATCGATCAGTCATACTGACTGTAAAGTGATTGAAATGATCCGACTTAGAATTCAACCATATCTTTAAGCAATTTGCACAAAATGTATGACCACATTCGGTAACTACAGGAATAATGAATACACCATGACAAATACTACATATAAGATTTTCATCGACTGGATTAACAAATCGATCCATAGGAAGACCCATATTGATTCAGTCAACAGTCATTAAATTGCTTTCTGTGGATGAAAAGAAAGTATTTTAGTGTATTTAATGTACCATCACTTATGCAATAGTTAGTTATATCAGTATTGACAAATGTTTTGTTTAAATACTCTATTGGTAATATCACTTGTAAAATAATTAGCCAATGAAATCTTTTCTAAACTCTTGTTCGACCAATCGAATTAATCTATAATAATTACCTTGAATAACTATTGGTTAGTAAATAAATTTCAGAAAACAATGTATAATTTAGTGAGATTTTCAGTCATAAAATGATACAGTAGACACTAGTAACAATGGTATCATTCAGTTCAGTGAAAAACAATCAAGAGACTTCCTGAATAATTCAGATAATTATTTCTTCTGTTAAATTGTAGTGTTAAAAATAGAAGGTGTTTCTGTTTTTGAACAAAACATTGATGTAAGGAATTCAAAATGAAACAATCTAAGGCATGAATGTGAACAGACGATATAGATGATAAACACTGATTAGAAGAAGGATTCCGGATCCAACATTTTTGGCATTTGGGCCTTGTGTGATGTGAATTCTACTGCTTATCACTTTTAAACATTCCTATGAGTTACTAAGGGATAAGGAAATCAACGAAAGAATTTGTTTTCGGCAACATCAAAATTTTTAACTGTATAATTGTAATTCAAATACGCTTAGAGTACATAAAAAATGACAAAATTTTTTTAAGTCAATACTGGTTAGTAGTTTGCAACCATGAAAATACATACTATAAGGAATAGAAAAGATGTAAGAAATACGAATGCATTTGAAACCGTGGATAAGCAAACGTGAGTTGAAATGAAACAGCAAAGAGTTTGCAACAAAATGAGTAGGCAGGCAGGCAGTTGTCAGTAAGCCAGAGAATGAGAAATTTAAAACCGAACTAAACGAAAATTGTTTATGTCATAACAAATTGAAAGGTTAGTTAGGCCTGAGAACAGGAAAGTTCAAGAATTAGGAAGTGAATAGGAACAGTGAATAGCATAGTTGCTTTAGGATACATTACTCTGGTTTCCACAATTGTATGGCCAGAATTTCATCAAAGCAAAGTTAACGTTTCTTCACATCCTTCAGAAGAATACGTTGTACTTCGAAAACTAGCACAAATGAATCATATGAAATTGTTTGTCGGCTTTTAACCAAATGTTGTAATATGGAGCTGCTGACTGATCTTTATTGACCATACTGGGAGTTGTTTCCGTTTACGTCGGACAAACTGCCTCTGCGTACGGTCTATCCACATAGCTCCACAGGAGCACATGAACTGGTATATGCATGCAGATGTGGCCAGTAGTGACAATTAACAGATTGTACAAATATTTTCCACTGAGCGACTAGTAAAGGTGATTTCCAGAGTGGCTGCATAGAATGTTCCTCCGATACGCTTAATTAGTCTGTGTTTTATTATTTCATCTGCCGCATCTCCAGTGAATTTCAAGCTCCAAACACCTTTTTCATCCTCACGATGATGGTAGACTAACAGGTAGAATTCCGATGTGGATTTTTATTTATGAAACTTCCATGGTATCTATTTTTCATGAACGTTGATCTTAGAAGTTGAAGTTCATCTTCTAAACTGTCATGAAAATGAACCTATTCGGTTAGAGAGGGGAGGGTATGGACTGAAGTTCTTTTTCAGCTGACTGAAACCCAGTTGTGAAAGATTCTTATTTGTTCATCTCACGTAAATTTTCGACAAATGTACCTTTTAAGCCTGCTATCATTTCTTCTGATTCCTGATATGTGATTTCATTCGTTAAGCTCAATTGTAAATTTCTCATTTCCTTGCTCATTAACGACTATCTACTAACTTTGTTACAAACACTTTCCTGCCTGATTTCAACCCACGTTTACTCAACCACATTATTCCCAATCTTTTATTATATGCATGGTTATAAGCTACTAATTTTGGACTGGATCATGCAGTAAACTAAGATGAGCGAGAAGAAGCGCTTACGCTGTTTGACCGATGAAAAGAACTTACAAGATTTGGATTTCGTCGATGGTAATTTATGTCTAATGTCCTGTAGCACAAATTCGAAGATATACAGGTGAAAATAACATATTGACAGAAAAGGCAGCAAAGACGGACTTACTTCAGGTGGACGTAGGGAAGACAGGGATGATGAAGATGCCCAATCAACAACAACAACAACAAGCACCAATCATCATCAATGGGAGAAGCCTAAAGGAAGTAGTCTCTTTCACCTACCTACCTACCTAGGTAGGCAACATCGTTTCAACTACAGGTGGCACAAGCATAGATGAGAACGTCAAAGTCAGGATGGAAAAGACAACAAGACAGGCCTTCCCCCATGAATCTGAAATCAGTGTGGAGATCTAATACATTGCACTGAACTGCATTTAGCATAAAGCGTGAACAAGATCCGGATTGTAAACACCAACGTCAAGACAGTTCTTCTATATGATGCAGAAACTTGGCACGTTACGGAAAGCATTTCCAACAAACTACAGACATTCATCAACAGCTAACACCTACCCTCGCTCGATACTGAAGATCAAGTCATATGACCAGAAAGAATAAGCAACGAGGAACTCACTCTGTTTGCAACGAACAAACAAACTAAGAACCCATCGCCCATCAAATATGGATTTCATTGGGCATACACTGAGAAGACCGATTGAGGACATCATGCACTAGGCCAGGACGTGGAGTGGAACTTGCATGGGATACGACGAGTTGGGAGTTCGAGGGTGACACGGAGGAGAGGATGTGAGGAAGAAATGAAAACTTGTGGGCAGTGGTGGAGCCAGGTTGAAAAGACTGCAGAGAAGAGAGTGAAATGGAGGCGTGCTACTGTAGCTCTATGTTTAACTAGGAACCCAAGAGACAAATAATATTATAATAATTATTGATTAACAAACACCGACAATTCTATGCATGCCAAGTAAATTGAAATGAGATTGTATAGCTGAAGATGATGATGTTGCCAAAAATAAATTTATTCGTTAAAATCTCTGTTCCTTTTCAATCATTACTATTATATTGAAATAACTGTTGATATCATAGCGTCCGCATAGGAAGTCAAATTTCTACAGTGGTTGGTCAATTCTTCAGTCTATACCAACTAAACGAAGACAGGAGACTACAAGTTATAAAATTAAAAACAACCGAACAACTTTTTACGACATCCAGCATAAAACCTATTGATCTACCTTTCTAACTACATAGTTTCTTGTCTGTATTTATTGTAGTTTCTCGTGACTAGCAAGTTTTACAACAAAGATGGCTACTTTAACTATATCGTGTTATCTTCTGCCCAATAGAAATATTGTTGATATGTTTAAAATCGTTTTTTTTTGTCAAATCACTTAAGATGGACATAAATAAGTTCATCAGTGTTGGCATATTTCTTTATGATGTCTTATAAAATTATTGTTTTGGAACAAATGTTTATGGAATCAGGAAAAGTGATGATTAAGGTGTCAGATGTAATCAGGTTCATATAATGCTCAGAATTCATTCTATTATACTACTATAGAACATACAAATTATGTTTGTTTATCTGTCAATATTACATAACTAAAGTATTTTTATAATTTCTAGTAATGATATATAGTGGCTAGAAGTGGAATCCAGGATGCATGTTTCTCAGTACTTGATACTAATTCAGTTGGATGTAACTGAATAGCCTCTAAATTGAAATTGGTGAATCAATGAACATTTGATATCGGTGGTTAAAGTAGACAAAATCAAATTGACTGAAGGAAGAAAGTTCACGTTGAAAGGTTATGCTGAAGCGAAATTTTAGCCAACAGATGAAATGATCATATTTGTAATATCGAGATTTTTTTTAATGAAAACATTATTAAAGGTAGAAAAGAAAGTAGCTTTCATGAAACATGGTTTTCGACAAAAATATTTCCAAAAATGTTTACAATATGATAAAAATCTAGTTTATGTTAGTTTATTCATTGAATGGATTTCAGTAAAGCAAACCATTACATGCGGGAATTCAAACCAAGTATTTTTTTTAAGACGATAGAAGACAATCTCTTCCACTTCAAATTATTTTTGAAGAAACAGGTAAATGAACTCTGACTTTTCTTTAAAGAAGTATGCGCATCCTAGATTCCACTGTTAGCTACAATCTATCATTAATATAATTAGAACGCAGGCAATATCGAGGCATCCGCATAGGAGCCCATATGCCAATAGAGACCTATCAATTTGGTCCAATCAACGACGGTATGATATAAAAACAATCATACTAAAACTATACCCGTCGTACAAGAAGTGGCTATCGTGGCTCGGTAGTGTAGTGAATAACGCGTTAGCGTTTGAGGCGATTGCTCCCGAGTCCAAATCCCGATGGGAACAACATCACTCACTGGGAAGCAGGTAAATCCAGCTGATGAGTCCCAAACAGGACGAAATGCGCATCCTGGATTCCACTGTTAGCCACAATCCATCGTTAGTATGCCTAACTGTTTTACATTTAGATAAATCGTTGAAGAACTGATTACTCCAGTTTATTTGTGAAATAAGGTTATATAAAGTCATACAGTTACCTATCTTTCAAAAAGACTCTTCATATTCCGTTAGCTGAACTAGTCAAACATTTACTTGAAACCAAGATGAAACAATATCAATGAACGACAACTAGTACCTATTGTAGAAGAGGTGGTTTTCATGACCCTGTGGATAATGCTCTAGCGTTTAAAGCCATAGGTACTGCATTCGAGTCACACCAGGGACAGTATCACTCACTAAGAAGCTGATTCATCAAGCCAATAAGTTCCAAATGCGACGAAACGCGTATTCTGAGTTTCATTGCTAGCATATAAGAAGCCTACAAAATAATGAATATACAGGCAGTATTGAGACATCCATATAGGAGCCCATCTGCCAAGTTGTCAAGTAACTGAACCTAGCATTGGAATAGGAAACTACAAATATCAATGAGAAACTTGTAGTTATTAAAATAGAACTTGAGCTTTTCATGAC